CCCCCCAAGGGTCGAGGGTAGTCCTCTACCATCCTTCATCCCGAGGGGATGCCTTGCTCTATTTAGAGTATGTCCTAAGTTCAAAACCCAGCAACCACCAGTGATAAAATACTCATATTTTAGGGTAAGTTCTTAAGCTAAAATCTAGTCCCAAATATCAACCTAGTGTGTCAATAACTGTCTACGATTATATCTATTAAACTTAAGTAAGTAATACTGTGGCATGTCATTTCCACAATGGCTTATAAACGAGAATTATTTTAGGTGGCATCAAAGTTTATAAACTCACCCATTTAGGTTGCCCAGTGAACATGTGAAGTTCCTACAATTCATAATTTACTTAGATCCAATAGTCTTATATCTATCTATTTTTATTAGTCACTCACCCACCAATTTTTTGAAAGGACAAACCAGTTTTTATAAAGTATCATGGTTTTTTTAGGTGTCTGTGGGAGAATATCTCCTAACTTTGTGAAAGTCATCTATAACGTCGGGATAATTTTCCTTCACTACTGGTATTGTAGAGACATCTAAAGTGGTAGTGGGTAGAGAGAGTCAAAGGATGGCTCTACCACCCCGCCCCCTTCCCCCTTGGAAAGGGGGGAGCAAGGAGGGATGTAAAAGTTATCCCTTCGGAGGCCTGCCTCTGCTTTACTATTGGGAAGTTTAGATTAAAGTACATAAACCGTTCCTCACCAGAGATGAGATGAAAAAACTAATTCGTTTATAGCTATTCCACTTTTTGGAACACTGATAGACTCCACCATTTAGGACTTAGTTAAATCCTGGGTGGACTCCTAGTGAAGAGGGATATCCCTGGACACCTCTCTCATATAGCGACATAGTAGTGTACATAGACACACATAGGGAGGCTCCTAGGAGTATAATGGGTCTGATAGTCGTATGGGAGTATCGAAGATGCCTGTAGGATATATTATAAGGGTGTCCCCCCTAAGACTATGGAACCCCGAAGGGACAGGACGGGTCCCCGGAACCCGGGGAGGGACCCCCCACCACCCTCTTATGCGATCTTACAGTCTTCCCCTTTAACTATAATAAAAGTACCACCCCACGAGTGAGCTATGAGATCTCAAAATCTTATAGAGAATTTTTAGAAAAAAAAGGATAGTAAAAGGGTTAGGAGGGTTAGTAGCCTGTTTGAAAGGGGGGGGGGGTATGGATATAACTCCTCCCTGTTGTTCTACACACAAATAACCATCTTGAATAATAAATAACCTACACCCACCCTCAGTAAATATCTATTATATGAATTACCTACACAAGTATAGCTATGCGGACCAACTTGTAATTACCTAACATCATAAATGGAAGAATCTAAGACGGCAATACTTTATAGATAATAAAAGGGGGACGTAAGATTAACAATCCACAATATCAAATCAGCATGCGACCACCCCAATCTCAATACCAGTTACAACAATAAATAATAATGTGGGTGTAAGGTTAATTACCAATAAAATGAATAAAACTTATATGTAGTCGCAAAAAATAATAGAATATAATTCAATGGAACAGTGAAATAGAAGCACACTCCCTCCTTACT